TTTTTTTTTTTCCCTTCCCTTACCTGACTTGCCTACCTGACAGCCTACGCCTAGCTTAACCCTGTTTCCTTTTTTTTTTTTTTCCTTTTTTTCTTTTTTTTTGTTTCGTGCCATACATTGTCAGCGATCTTGTAATTCTTGTTTTTGTTTATTTCGGTTGTGGCCTGCATACTTTCACAGTTCGGGGCTCCATTCTCCCTCGGGGTTGCAAGTGTAACCCTTCCATTTTGGGGGCTCTGTATATACAGGCCCTGTAAGAGACCCCCACTCCTCTTTTTTTTTTTTTTTTTTCTTAAGAGAAAACACCCAAGGTGGCGCTAGGGATGCTGGTATCTTACCTCATCCGAGTAACATCACTCTCTCCTGGAGCAACCTGCCCAGACAGCGGACGCGGTGTCGGAGGGCGCGGTGTCCCGGCCCTCCTCCGTGTACCAAGTTCCTCCTTGGTACCACCCTTAGCTTTAGTATGGCGATCTGTAGCTACTCCCGAAGCACTATGACACTTGGTACCTGGGCTGTACCATGACGTGGACCGGTCCTGCTTGGCGCCTGCCTCGGCAAAAGGGTGCGCCCCAGGACTTCCATTGTTCCACGCAGGCTCGGTGCCCTACTGTACAGCAGAGCACTACCAGCCTGTGGCCGTGGCAGCCGCCGGGCTCGCCCTGGGACGCGAAGGTGAAAAGACCGGCTCGGCCTTTTCTACTGTGCGCCAAATGCCCTCTAACCAGGTTATGGGTTAGGTGCACAGAGCAGAAGTCATTGTCAAAAAGGAGAAAAAAAAAGAAAAAGAAAAAAAAAAGGCCGAATTTGAACTCGCTTCTAGTTCGGGGAAAATCCAGTGGGTTTCGACCACTGTGATGTTACAATTTTCCTTACCCTTTTCTGATTTTGCTGCTATTATTATTATTATTATTGTAACTTAATTTTACTGTTTCAATTTTCTCCTGTTGGCCTGTCATTTCGCGGGAAGGCCAATGGCTAGAATTCTGAGTTCGGGCGGTGGTAGTGCGGCCTAGGCAGGCCCAACCCTTCGTGTGTCACCTGTACTGGGTCTGCGCGTCTGAGCTCCGCGTGGTGGGACCCCTAGTAGCTGTGTTGGGGGGCGGATATAGTGGGGTCTGAAGAAGGGTTTTCCTTTTCTTTCTACAATTATTATTATTATTATTATTACTATCAACTTACCGATTTTCAGGTGCGGCTTTTCCCTTTTTGGGTTCTGTCACGTCGTAGGGAGAGGTCGACGGTTCGTTCTCATGAGTTGCAAATACAGCCTGACGGTGCTGGCCCGACCCCTCGTAAATTTGTTCGTGCTAAGCCTGCCTGATCGGGCGCCGCGTGGCGGGACCCCAAAAGAAGGGCGACCCGCGGCCGCATTGGTAGGGAACCTATCACCCCCAAAGAAGGGTCATAAGCCCCCTCCTTGCCATCGTACACGGGTACCGGACAGGGATAGGCCGAAATTGTATTTAAAAAAAAGGGGAATGTGATCGCCGGTATCCCGTTATGGGAGCCATCACCTCAGAATAGCAGTCACTTTTCAGTGAGACGAAGCGACCGTGACCGATAGCAGAAGGCCTATGGATATCGCGGCCATAAGTTCTTTTCTTTTCTTTTCTTTTCTTTGGTTTTCTTTTATGTGAAATCACAGTTTTAAAATTATTCTGTTTACTTTCAAATTTTTACCGAGTCTTGAAGTTTTTCGTTTAGAGCACACCAGGGTCGCACTCGCCTGTAGCTCTATAAAACAGGGGCTGCCCCTGGGTCTTGAAGCAAATGCGAGAGGGGAGTGTTATCACTCCTTGAGTGTGAGTAGTGGTATTGCGCGGAAGCCTTGATTCCAGGCACTCTGGATTCAGCCTGGCTAAGGACTTCTGCGAACAGGGATAGTGCGGACTGGGCACTGGCGTTGGCTATTGAGAAAGAGTGGCTATGGCGCTGCATGGGTATAGGCCCGGGTACTGGTATCACCAGGCCCGCTGGAAGCCCATGTCCAGGGAAGGGCCCTGGATCACCGTTATACTCAACTACGACGGTGGAGATGAAGTGCTACTGAAGATCAACGTGGAGGGAGCAAAAGAGGTGGAGATGCGGACCGATGGAAAGCTGCAAGATGCGATTACAAAGGCAAGGGATCGAGCGGAGAGACGCTGTAGGAGGGACGGTGTGACGGCGAGACTACGGATAACGGTGACCTACCAAGAGACAGAAACTTTGATGGACACGGTGGACCTGGAGCAGGCCCACCAGGACAGGGACTCAGGTGGGGAGAGTGAGATGAGTGAAGCAGAAGATCGGGAAACGGACCTCAGGTCCTGGAACAGACCAGGCGAGATCCAGAGGCATCACCGAGCCGTGAAGCCAATAGAAGAGGGACCTGAGGCAAGCTCGCAACAACTGACGCCGAGGGGCCGCGGGACGGGAGAGAAGCAGAACAAGCGAAAAAGACATATGTGAGAAGGGCGCAACAGGTTTTTTTGGGCCAGTTGTGAGACACGAGGGCTGGCTCTCGAGGCTGATACACGTGAGAGGCAAGCTACGTGGCACGCCCTGGAGAGGTCCCTTGGAGAGGTCAACGCGTGAGCTTGCGGGGCAGTGACGTCAACCATTTCTTTTGTCTTCCTAGGAGACACGGACTCGCCGACGAGGACGGGGCAACTCACGCAAAGTTGGTTGATGGGGACGTCAACACAAAAGTTGCAGACGGCTCCGGTTATCGCTCCCTTGGCTGTGGTAAGTACTAGCACGAGCTTTAGGCACTACCCTCATACGCAGGCGACGCGTGGCGATCTAGGGGTGAGAGTGACAGAGAGAGACTGCTGACGCGGAGGAGACTGCTTGGCTGACCCCGAAGCTGACTCCTTGAGCAAGCAGAGCGAGAGAGATTTCATTTTGGTCTTCAGAAAAGGAAGCACGAGGATTGAGTTGCGAGGCAGTTACATGCGCTGCAACCAGACGCGTGACGCGAGATCCGGAGGAGAAGTCGGTACCTTCAGGCCTGAGACGGTCACGGGCATGAGTAGCTAACAGGATGAACTAGGGGAAAAGGAAGGCGAAGAGTCAGGGTAGTCAGTAGTGGAGTAAGGTCGGGGACGTACGAAGAAGCGACGGGGCACACTGGACACGTGTGATATGATCCAAAGCTCGACTCAGGTTCATGAGATTTGACACGCGCTAGCACTGGATCTGAGGGGCCATGAGGTTGTGACAGGGAACATGAGCTACTGCGCTTACAAATAGTCGACGTGCGGCAAGAACTTGAAGGGGGCGAGAAAGGGGCAATGAGAGAAGGGCCACACGCAAGAGAGAGAGGATGTGCTGCAGATTGATGTTGACGTCGCTCTCGCACGTCACTCTTGGAGGATCTGCTTGTTGTTGACGACAACTGTTTTCCTGGTCCGCAAGACGATTACACTCAGTTGATTTGCTTTAGAAACGGACAGTGAGGTAGCCACAAGAAAAGGGTGGGATCATTCCTCTCTTGGAAGAGGTTATTTGCATGAGCCACATACTTGTCCCTCTGACTGCGAATCTCGCCATCTCCATATGGAGCGGTTTACTGTCGCGAGGTGTCCTTCCATGATCATCTCGAATTAAGGTTCCAGATAAGACGTTGAGCTATTTCGAACGAATTCCGCCTTTTCCGCTCGTCGATTTAGCCTCTTAATTTCTTTATTGTGACAGAATGATCGGTCTGATTGTTTAGTGTCAACTGACTGGACCGTGTAGTATGACGGCCAAGTTTATTGTAATCTGAGTGTATTAAGTTAGGGGGAATAGCCTCGGCCTTGGATAGCAACTCAAAACGCGCTGATCCGGGAGAAAGTGGTCTATGTGCGAGTGGTCAGTCAGAAAGGAGGTTATGGGAAAAATAAAGGAATTGGATTGTTTGGTAATTGGTGTTCCCTCGCGCTTTTCTATTGAATGTTTTAATCGTCTCAAGAGACTCACTCTGTCGTGAGGTAGAGCCAGAACCAGCCGACGCTGATTTTTGAGTGCTTTGTAGGAAAATCTCGATGAGTGATAGATCAATGTTGCCATTCTTGTTTTCTCTGTATGCCTAACCCCGTGGGGTATGGGCGAAGAAGATAATCGGAGTTTCGGTTCTTTCCCCACTCATGCAATCGCGGGGGCATTGGATCACATAGATTTACATATGTTTGATGGTTTGGCAAACGCATGTGTAAGCGAGTTCAAACTTAATCTGAACCTGTGTGAGTACTTGCCCTGCTAGCATGAGTGAATGGATGTGCGTGCCTACTGACACGGGAACCGGGTAAGCCCATAAAGGAGCTAGCGTGTGGACTCTCGTGTGGGCGAGCAAAGGGGGTTTACCGTAAAAGGAAAAAAAAAGAGGGGGGGGGGGATGTTGAAGTTGCGTTTAATAAGCACGGTGGTGCTCCTTTCTCTCTGGTGAATGGGGAAAAAAAGGGCAGTGCTAAGAAAGATCTCCTATCTTATTGCAAAGTTACTACTCGATGGTGGCTGATGATTTACTAGCTCAGACCGGGGAGGAGCAAGTGAAATAGAAGGTAATCGCTATAACAAGCTACGCACCTAACAGTCTGTGTTCTTGTTCAATTGAGTCCTACCCTCTATTACAAGCGAAAAAGTGACAGTATCGAACTCAGTTCCTACTTAATGAGAATGGCGGTCAAGTAGAAAATGGAATATTGATCGTCATGTTCGGCTGGTTGTCCAGGGACTTGCGCGGGTGTTCTAGCCGAAGAGGGTGACCAGGGTACCACTTGATTAGAACGGGCCTAGACACTCTATCCCAGGAGTGTGGGAGTTGAACCCTCCAACTGTAGGGAAGCTGTCATGAGACATTTGTGATTGCTAACTGCAGTTGAGTTGACGATCAAGCAACCTAATCTGGCCGTTTTCACTAACGTATTGGTGACTGAGGCCCAACAAAAAGATACAACTGGAGGCAAAACTTTGCAACTCTGTTTTATCTATATCATTAGTAGTGAACTTAGTCTGATCTCCCTGGAGATCATAAGTTAATGAAAAGGGTGTCGTTCTCAAGGGCTACGGACTGCAGCAAACAGTATAAAGCCCGCCCTTGGATGAGCTTCTCTCATCTTGAGAGAGAAACATAGCCCATTCAAATTTCGAACTGAACAGATCAGTGTGTCAGTAGTCACCTGCAGAGAGCTAGCTAGGGGCAGCCTCGTGTACGTTCACCACTCGACGTATCGAGAATCTGCAAAACACGGGTCGGTCCTCACTACTTTGCTGATACAAGAGAATTGTTTTAGCCTCCTACAATGTAATGACCCCAAATAGGGAAGAGGAAAGTGACGTCACAAGTGAAGGTAACCTGCCTACTGCACTGGGGCATGACGAAGGATGAGAGGGTGAGGCGATTAACAGATTTCACCCTTGGGGCGACCAGTGCACAAGCAACTTCCGATCTAATCTCAGACAGCCGGACAACCAGTCATACTACCTAAGACTTCCTTCTGAAAGTTTTTCTATTTCCCTCCAAACACGGGATTCCTAATACCAACCAAACCGCATTTTTGCCAGGAGATGCTAGACAGTTCTCTGGGATTCGTCTCTGTTTATAAGTACAGTCTTAACGCCCCCTTTGTGAGGGACCGAAAAAGGAAAATGGGAGAAAAGAAAACAGTCAAAGTGACCTACTCATTGTGCAAGGGTACTGCAGAGACCTGGAGAGAGTATGCAGTGGAAAAATACAATCAACAGACAATCATGATGATAGAGTATGCTTTGACTTTGGTGAGAGACCATAGCGAAATTGAATATACCTATTACTTGCATGACAAAAACGGCAAGTTGTGTGCTACTATCTCCTCTTTGGGCTCTGTTGAGGAGGTAAGAAGGACTCTTTGCAGACATCAGTAAAGCCGGATGACACCAGTTGAGAATTGATTTAAGGGAAAATTGAATCAGGATATGAGCGGGTCCTAATTAAACACTCAGCATTCAGTTCAACATTCAGTTCAGCATTCAGTTCAACATTCGGCTCAGTATTCAGTCCAACATTCGGCTCAGCATTCAGTTGAACATTCGGCTCAGCATTCAGTTCAACATTCAGTTCAGCATTCAGTTCAATGTTCGGCTCAGCATTCCGCTCAACATTCAGTTCAGCATTCAGTTTAACATTTGGCTCAGCACTCAGCTCAACATTCAGTTCAGCATGTAGTTCATCATTCAGTTCGGCATTCGGTTCGACATCCGAATCAAGAATCAGCATTTAATTCAGTATCTAGATCAGCATCCAAATCAGCATTCAGTTCAGTTCAGCAAGTAAATCAGTAACTAGATCAACAATTCAGCAAGTAAATCCAGCAATTAGTCCAGCATTCGAGTCAGCACGTAAACCAGAGGTAATTAGCAGATACCAGACATCTTCGTTATGAGTACAATGCAATCCGTTCCAGTCAGCGAGATAGTGCTGACTAATCTCAATCGGATCTCATGCAAGGAGGCTTTTCGTTATCAGTATGTCAACGCCATTGGTTTTAGACAAGGAGATCTGTCAAACTTCATTGTCCAAACCAGTTTTGCTGATGGCACTGTCCACGATCTGAGGCCTTACCTGAACAAGGGTAAGGAGACTCATAAGCATTTGGATCCAGTCTGGATCTCAGCCACCAAATACCTTGAGCAGAGAGAGAGGGAGCTCGACGAGAGTGGCACTACGCTGATCCTCAACTTTGGGCCAAAGCTCTATACTGACTATCCCAAGCCTCCTGTTCCTTCCCTTCTCACTTATGACAGAAGTTGGGAGGACATGGTACGCTTGGCAAAGAGATATATCTCTCCGGCGGTGATTGACATTGAGGCACTGACAGAGCCCACCAAGTATCCATACCTCAGGCGATGAGTCTTCTCTGTGGACGGGTTGCCTACATTGTGGGAGGAGTTTTGATCCATGGTTAACTTCCGTGTCATGTATCTCAGGTGGTCATGCTCAGAGCTTGTTGGCTTCAGGTGACTCTTTGTCACAAGGCTTTAGTCTCAGATTGTGCGTGGGCGTGGGTCACAACACCAGAGATGAACAGTGAAATGAGAGATTGAGAGAGACTACCTAGAGGGATGAGTGAGAACTCTTGAGAGGTGCTGACCATGCTTGCTTATATGTGCTTTCTGAGATTATTATGAGTTCTCATTCTTCCCTCATTCATCTTGTCTTTGCCTTGAGTCAGTAGGTCTTGATTTCCTCCCTGACATTGCTTGATGGCTATGTTCTCGTTTGCTGATTATGTCACAGTTCTCAAAATTCCTAAATTAGCATCTCGATACACATATGGCATATTTAACTTAATTTTCATTATCTGCATTATCATTGTTGTTTCGAATCACAATTAAAAATTCCTAAGATCGGGGTCCGGCGAAGACCGCAATTGAAGGGTCTCGCTCGAAGCCGGACGCACACAACAGGAATAGATTTTCATTATTTAGTTTATTTTATCTATTGCAACCGCGTACAAAATCCTGCGTGACAGCCTGTTGGCTTTCTGGCCGTTCGAAGTGGCTTGACTGGAAAAAGTGCGACAACGGGCACTGACGTTGAATGACCGCCCCCATTCACCCCCAGTTGAGGCACATAACACTGTACAAGGCTCGTCTATACGGGTCCCTCTGGAGCTATAGGCTCAAAGTTCTCAACTAGTCCCGTGAGCAGTGAGGGCACCGGTCCCATAGGCAGTGTCTAATGGTCCGCTAACCAACGTCTAAACCCATGATGAGCCCCCTACCTCTCTAAGCATCAACCCAGCACGGCGCGGCCCATATATGGTTACTGTTGTCGGTTGTTGAATATGCTGGTTGTTGTTATGTGAGCTAGTGTGATATCGTAGTCGGTATGGATGTATGTGTTTGCTTTTTTTTTTTTTTTTTTTTTTTTTTTTTTTTTTTTTTTTTTTTTTTTTTTTTAAACATCAGTTGATCGTGCTAGGGATAGTGATACGAGCACCCATCCCTAGCAGGCCTCCTGTTGGCTCCATTCTATTGGTGGGGAGCTGCACCTACTTGAAATTGGGTCCAGCGTCTCTTATACATAGTTGTTCTGAGAAGCATAATGAGCATTTAAGCAGGTAAGAAGAAGATAGAAACTGAGGACTTGTTCTGCTACTAATGAGCCTGACTTATATCTGCTCGCTAGGGAGAATCGACCAGTGGTAATGGTGGAGACCTTGACCGTCATCAACTACGCCCGACCAACATCTGATAACCCACCTGCCCAGAATGGGTCTACAGACATCGAGAGTATGTGGAAGAAGGGGTAGGCAAGGCGTTGTCAGTGTATCTGTTTGAGTACTATGGTTACTATTAACACTTGCGATGTGTGCACTTTTGTGTCCTCCTCCACGAGAGTACAACCTCTCATATGATGTAGTACTTATTTTCTATACATGAATCATGAATGTGGACATACTTAATATCTATGTAGCACGGCATACCTGGCCGGATAATCTGGTCAGATTATCTGGCCGGATTATCGGGGGCTAGGATTATCCGGAAATCCGGATGATTAAAAAAATGGCCAAAAAAAAACAAAAACAAAAAAACAAAAAAAAAAGTAATATTGCGCATGCAAAATACAATAGAACTATGTTCCTATTTCATAAAAAGCTTGATAAATCATGGAAGGGTAGGGGGTTAGAGGGGGGATGCTTGATTCGTTTTATAATTTTTTATCCAAATATTATTTTCTTTTTCGATTTTATATTTGTATCTTTTTATCTGTTGAGATATCAACAATGGCCTCAAGCCAAAAGTTGTTTGTATTGTTGATGTGAACAACATACGTTTTTTCCAGATTTTTTTGAATTATTTGTTTTTTCGGTAAAAAAAAATGGTTTGCGCAGGGCCGGATTTTTCCATATTCGGAATTTATCCGGAATTTTCATCCGGATTGAAAATTCCGGATAAAATGGTCTCCCTGATATCCGGATTTTCTACATAGCTTTATATGGATATAATGGTCATATATGGATATAAAATTATAAATTCATATATGCATTTTCGTCTTGGACTCCAGCGATGTCTAAGAAAGGAAAAAAGTCCTTTGGGACATCCGTTACAATTGGAACGATACAGAGAAG